CCCTCGAGACTTCCGACACCTTCCTCATCAAGAGATCACAACCCCCGCGAGGAATCACACCGTTGCACTTCTCGAAAGAAACTGGTGGTAAACAAAGCCGTTCGGTCACGCGTGCTGACGTAAGTTATATATAACATTGCAACGTTGCATTTTATTTTGAAAATAACCGGGGATTTTACACTGAAATAGTGTAGTTTCCTGTCTAGCACTATGTGAACTGCAGAAATTGACATGTCCCAGAAGCGGCTCACGGAAAAAATAGAACGCAATCCTATCTTAAGCGACGTGGCATGCCCCTTCTGGGAAGCGCCTGGAAATTGCCGTGTCGCGGCTGGTTTGAAACACTCCATAGACTATAATTGGATTCAATTTGAAGCGGTGCTGCTTCGCTTCCATTCCGTTGATGCTTGCAGTGTGAAACCGGCTTTCTATTCGCTACTCGCGTGTGCATTCAGTGCAGTGTATGTGCATCACTTATTTCGGTCCGGATGAAACATGACCCCGGGCAATTGCAAAGCCATGAATTAATTAAACATGAATTAAATGAAGCCTCGAGGCAGAGAATTTGACTCGAGGCTTTTTTGTACTCGAATTATTCGAAACTCGCGGAATCTTTTCAGCCCTAATAGTGATACGTGTTAAACTCCATTCATGGCTGGATGTTGACTTTACAAAGAGAGCACATTTCTGTAATAATAGATTACTAAAGTTAGTTTAAAATGATCAATGTTAAGATTTATAGGCAGGATTTATTACTTTGCACCATTATTAAAATGAATTAGTCCCAGTATATTACAATAAGGTTTTTATTTTATTGTCAGTGTGTCAGTAACTCATCAGAGCTCTTACATTGAAGTCATTAGGCTTCTGACGGTAAAACCAAATCCATGTCTACTGTAGATTTTTGTGTGTTTATGTGTGAGTATAATTGGGTTAAATTATCAGTTTAATCAGGTTTCTCTCTTTCTCAGCAGCTGGCGTCGGATAATCTGCATTTCTATTTATCTGTTTGACTTTCAAGCGAATTGAGTCTGCACCGCAGAACATTTCAAGCATGTTTTCATTTAGAAAAATCTCAGTTGTCAAAGCAAGCAGAGCAACCATGATGTAACCATGTATAACTTAAGTATGTTCCTGTAAACAGTTTTTAAAATAACAGTTTTTAGTTACTGCATGTGTATTTGTTTTTGGATCTGAGAAGGACCATACAGGCCCTTCTCAAAAAATTAGCATATTGTGATAAAGTTAATTATTTTCATTAATGTACTGATAAAAATTAGACTTTCATATATATTAGAGTCATTACACACAACTGAAGTAGTTCAAGCCTTTTGTTGTTTCTAATAATGATGATTTTGGCATACAGCTCATGAAAACCCCAAATTCCTATCTAAAAAAATTAGCATATTTAATGCGACCAATAAAAGAAAAGTGTTTTAATACAAAAAAGTCTACCTTCAAATAATTATGTTCAGTTATGCACTCAATACTTGGTCAGGAATCCTTTTGCAGAAATGACTGCTTCAATGCGGCGTGGCATGGAGGCAATCAGCCTGTGGCACTGCTGAGGTGTTATGGATGCCCAGGATGCTTTGATAGCGGCCTTAAGCTCATCCAGAGTGTTGGGTCTTGCATCTCTCAACTTTCTCTTCACAATATCCCACAGATTCTCTATGGGGTTCAGGTCAGGAGAGTTGGCAGGCCAATTGAGCACACAGTAATACCATGGCCAGTAAAACATTTACCAGTGGTTTTGGCACTGTGAGCAGGTGCCAAGGTCGTGCTGAAAAATGAAATCTTCATCTCCATAAAGCTTTTCAGCAGATGGAAGCATGAAGTGCTCCAAAATCACCTGATGGCTAGCTGCATTGACCCTGCCCTTGATAAAACACAGTGGACCAACACCAGCAGCTGACATGGCACCCCAGACCATCACTGACTGTGGGTACTTGACACTGGACTTCAGGCATTTTGGCATTTCCCTCTGCCCAGTCTTCCTCCAGTCTCTGGCACCTTGATTTCTGAATGACATGCAACATTTGCTTTTATCCGAAAAAAGTACTTTGGACCACTGAGCAACAGTCCAGTGCTTCTTCTCTGTAGCCCAGGTCAGGCGCTTCTGCCGCTGTTTCTGGTTCAAAAGTGGCTTGACCTGGGGAATGCTGCATCTGTAGCCCATTTCCAGCACACGCCTGTACACGGTGGCTCTGGATGTTTCTACTGCAGACTCAGTCCACTGCTTTCGCAGGTCCCCCAAGGCCTGGAATCGGTCCTTCTCCACAATCTTCCTCAGGGTCGGGTCACCTCTTCTCGTTGTGCGGCGTTTTCTGCCACACTTTTTCCTTCCCACAGACTTCCCACTGAGGTGCCTTGATACAGCACTCTGGGAACAGCTTATTCGTTCAGAAATTTCTTTCTGTGTCTTACCCTCTTGCTTGAGGGTGTCAATGATGGCCTTCTGGACAGCAGTCAGGTCAGCAGTCGTACCCATGACTGCGGTTTTGAGTAATGAACCAGGCTGGGAGTTTTTAAAAGCCTCAGGAATGTTTTGCAGGTGTTTAGAGTTAATTTGTTGATTCAGATGATTAGGTTAATAGCTCGTTTAGAGAACCTTTTCATGATATGCTAATTTTTTGAGATAAGAATTTTGGGTTTTCATGAGCTGTATGCCAAAATCATCAATATTAGAAACAATAAAAGGCTTTAACTACTACAGCTGTGTGTAATGAATCTAATATATATGAAAGTCTAATGTTTATCAGTACATTACAGAAAATAATGAACTTTATCACAATATGCTAATTTTTTGAGGACCTGTATAGTTCTATATCCACATCCTTCCTTCCATATACATCAGTAAATAAATAATCTAAAGTAATGAAAAATGACACATAGTGACAGAATACCACTCTAGAAACATAATGTGTAAACTGTGAGACAATTTGAAACAATATTAAGTTACTTCTACTTTCTGTTCCTGTGGTGCCCAGTGTCTGATCTTCCCTCACACTGCAGGATTACAGGTGGGGCTTCATTTCTGCAGCATCCAAAAATCAAAGGGCTGATGTGAAGATGAAAGTCTAGTTTTTAGTTTGAAGTTGCCCTTTCCATGAGGTTTAGGTCAAATGGCATAATCTTAGACATCAGCATGCAGCAGAAACAGCTTGGTTCGACAACAAACAACAGTCGAGGTGGATCTGGGGAAAATGAACAATAGTTGAAAGGGTGATGAAAGGAGATGATAAAGGCGATCTGAGTATTGTTGGGGAAGAGTAGAGTAAAAGGGCAACATAAATCTACAAGAGGTGGAAGATCTGAGATGGGTCACACATGAATAAAAATCAGGTTTTTGTCCACCTGTAAAATCACAATCTCTCCATCTAGAGTTTACTTTCTTTATTCAGCTATTTGATAAACTCGAAGACTTAAAGTAATACTTACAAAGATTTAACAGAATTAGATAAATACTAAAAGTATGTAGCAAGAGAAGCAGATGTCTGTGCAAAAAATAAAAGCATCACTCAGGCAAATCAGTAAAGAGATATGCTTCATGTGTAGCAGGTAATAACTCAAGATACGTTTTGAGCTTCATTCTAAAAGCAGGGAGTCGATGCATGTCTTAAATCTAAACAGCAAGCTGATTTTTGACAACTACAGGTTTTTGCATCCATTGATGAAAACCTGGTTTAAACCAGCAGAGTTGGACACTGAGAAATGTTCTTGTCTGTTAACGAGGACACTGAGCAGATTTCTTAATGGGGCTATGATGTTATTGGTGGCTTTGTAACTGATGAGTGGTTATTTGAAAAGTATTTTAATTTTCACAATGAGCCGATCTTACGAAGTGAGAGCAGGAGTAACGTGATCTATATTTTGGCAGTACGTGTGAAAAATCTGGGTGCAGCATGGGTCAGTGTCAGTGCTTAGAGCAATTTTTTGGACTTCCAACTAAATTAGGGTTTCAGCAGTGAGTCATGCCTGGAAGTGATACAACCCAGGGATTTCTTCATTACTCTGGGAAATTGATTCCCATTTTAGAGAAATCACAGAGAAAACAGATTCTTCAGATATTTTAAGAAGATGCTTTATTTTTTATTTTTTTGAGTAAATGTTTGATCAGAGATCAGAATGCCGAGAACACGATTGGTTAGCAAAGATTCACCCCTTAACCACCTTTTTACAAGCATGTTAGTCTAAAAAAATCTAATATCAACAAAATAAGTTTCAAAGCTTACCAACAACACACACATTTGTTTATTTTGGCAGCAGACATTGATGAATGCATCATTTTCAAGTTAAATTAACTTACTTTTAGCGCCTGCTAATTGTATTAGCTGGCTGCTATATCACACATTCAATTTATTTTATCACATAAATGTTTAATGCTTAAGAAGTGAGACCTTGATGGCATAGAGGACTCTGACTAAATTATTTATTTCAATATTTCCTGTTCCTCTTGAGTGGCACGTTGAGATAAATGTACATCTCATCTGATAGCCTCCTCTTCCTCACCTATACAGATCCTATGCTGTCCCATCTGTCCGTTACACACTTCAACTCCTCTGCTCCTCCTGTTCTCTTCCTTCTCTACAGAAATGCTTATATAAAAGAGGCAAAGAGGCAATCGACTGAAAAAAAAAATGTTTTTTTTTTCAATTATAAGGCTTGGATTTCAAATGAAAGAAAAAAAAATTGGATTATGAATAAACATGTTTGTTTAATGCATGATTCTGAAGCCTAGGCCTAAATACAACAAGACTTAGAACGGATGTTCCCAACCAAACAAATGTACCTAAATGAGTATAAAAAATAGTTTTAAGTTGTAGGTTTAGCTAATTTTGGGATCTTTGAACTCTGTAGGAGATGCATCTATGAAAAAAAAGAAACAAATTTTAGCTTCTTTTAATTACTGATAATCTTAAACCAGTTTGCTTTTTTAGATGTTGGCACTTTCTAGTCCATGCAGTTAAACATGATTTCTTTCTTTTCTGTCTTCACAGAGAAGCTGATAGCTTACCAACGGGAGTTCCATGCTTTGAAAGAGCGCCTTCGTGTGGCAGAGCACCGGACGCTTCAACGCACCTCTGAGCTCAACAACATTCTCGAGCAATTTCGACGAGCCATCGCCGAAACCAACAGCAGCAAAGATGCTCTCATAAACTTCTCAGGTAACACGTAAAGCAAGAGATGGAACACATTTATACCGTCTTCCACTTCTGTTTCTCCTGTCATACTGTAAAGTTCATTTAAAAAACCAAATAAAAACTCTTGAGTAGCTTTGCATTTAAACTCCTTTAAGAGAAGAAGTATTCAAAGAAAATGCAGTGGAAATGTACATGGATTAGATCTTTTACCTACTTTCTAAACAGTCGTGGTTTACAATGATCATTGGCAGATCTTTTCCCAATTAATAAAATAATTTAAATACTGTACTTGGTGTATTTGATTTAGGGTTACTGTAATGATCTCAGTTTATTTGATCACTCATGTTTTATTTTTGTTTTGATGTTTACACATTGCTTTCATTTAACTCTTCACCACTGAGTAAAGTGTAAAATGTGAGCAGATAAGCAATTAAACCAATATTGTTTTATTTTATATGAGTCTATTAAACAACATGTACATAACCTGTCTCTTGTAGCTCCTGAAGCTGTCTTAGATCTGTTTGTAAATAGTTCTGTGTGCATCTGCCTTCAGATGAGACACAGAAACTGCTGAAGGAGCTCACAAATAGGAAACCTCTACAGGTGCCAAACATCTACCACCACCTGCCTCACCTCCTTAACAATGAGGGCAGCCTCCACCCTGCAGTGCAAGTGGGTCTTGGACGCACAGGAGGTGAGGAATGAATGTGCACTTTGAAAGTTCAGCAGAAAAGTAGCATCGCTGATTTATTAAACCTAATGCTCCACATTGCACCGCTGTTCTGCACAAACATGGTGCAACCTTTGTCTTCACACCTGGGAGAGAAACAAGCCTCAACAGGTTTTAAGGTTGCAACTTGTACTCAGTAAAATCCTCTGGTGGATCGTTGTTACAAAAGGATAGTTGTGTAAAACATGCACAGGCTTAAAGATGATTACCGTATTTACCCGAATATAGGACGACCCCATTATAAGACGACCCCACTTTCCAAGAGATTAATTTTTTTAGAAAAAGGCAAAATTCACTTTTTAAAGAAAATATTTAATATTTGAAAAATTTTGGTAAATACAGTAATACCGTAATTACAGACTACTTTAATATTTACCTATTAATGCAATCACAAAAATCTGTTATGAAGCTTTTGGGGTTCTGTCAGGAAATCAATTAAATGTTATTTATATAGCACTTAATCAAACAAATAAAATCCAACTCAAAGTGCTTTACACAAACGGTACTGAACAAAAATAAAAATCCCCACTGTAGTCAAACTGTAAGAACTTCTCTTAACATGTCAAATCAAGTTATTTCAAAAGTCTGCATGAGGCATTTACTCACAGATGTCCTCTGCTTCGCTCTGCTCAGAGTCACTGTCACTCTCACGCTGCGGTCCCGCCTCCTCCCACAATAATGCCAGCTGGCATTGGCTCTTTCGGCACAGTTTTGCGTTTTAAAATCACATACGGGGCCAACTTAGTCCCGTCTGCCAGGCACGCCAACATGACGGTGATCCGATTCTTCTCATTTCCAGTTGACTTCACAATAACAGACTTCTCACCTTTTTTGTGCACAGTCACAGATGTAGGCATGTCAAAAAACACCGGTGTTTGGTCGGCATTCCCGATCTGATCCAGTGTGTAGGAGTGTTTTTTCCTCAAGCCAATCACATAGCGCTGAAAAGACTGCAGCTTCTCTGCGAAGTCTGATGGCAGGTGCTGGGCAAGGCTGGTTCTGCGTCGCAGCGCGAGGCCGCTCCGGCGCATCATCCTTATGCACCAGCCGGTGCTGGCTTTAAACTCTGTGGTCGGTATGTTTAACTCCTTGGCAATGTTCAAGGCTTTGAGCTGGATGATTGCTCTGGTAATGGGCAGACCTTCATTACGTTTCTCAGTAACAAACTCTCACACCCGCCTGTCAATTTCTTGGAAGCGGCCGCGTTGTGGACCACGAAAAGCTTTTCTCTTGCTGTTAGCATTTTTCAGACGGTCTTTCTGGATGCGCCATCTTCGGACGTTACACTCCGTAACGCCATATTTTCTGGCTGCCTGGCAGTTGTTAGTTGCTTCTGCTGCGTTGACAACCATCATTTTGAAGTTTGCGTCGTAACTCTGCCGCAGCTGTTGGTTAACTTGCCTAGTTTTAGATCTGCTTAACTCCAGATTCCTCCCCGCCATTTTTCTTCTTTAGTTCAATGACCTCACCACGACCTCTGCTTAGTTGGCGATTATAAGACGACCCCCCCTTTTGCATAATTGTTAATTTAAAAAAAACCTCGTCCTATATTCGGGTAATTACGGTATTATCAGTGTATTATTGTTATTCACTGTTTGGCCCTCAGCCTTTTCTCTGAACTCTTTCCTTGTTGTTTAGTAAATTCTACATTTTCCATACATCTGTTTGTAATGAGCCCAAGCACTTAGACACTTAAAGGATTGAACAGAGAAATGTTTATTTAAAATATTATTTAGAGTTAGATACAATAAACCATTAACTGTGATTTTTCTGTTTAAAGTTGGTAAAACTTAGAAGTTTAGTTTTATTTTATTCAGCTGGCTAAGCCCTCTTCAGTTTTGGAAAAGTGCAGAAAGTTTAGACCTAAAGCTGACAGAGGACATGAAAGTGGTGAGAGAACCAGGAAATAAGATGTGCCCTGACAGTCAGTTCTTTGCATGTTTGACACTGAGATATTAATAGCTGCACAAATTAGGCCATCATCCTACTTTAAAATGAACAAAGACTATAACAAGGAACAGTGGGGGGGGGGGGGGGGGGGATTTCTGAGGCAAATGTGAACGGACATTCTTGTGTCTGCTCAGATGTTCAAGGGCCCAACCCTGTATTGAATCCTGTGACATCATGTCTTCACCCAAGCTCCTTACAATGCAGGCTAACACTTTTGACCCCTAACTAAAACTGCATCAGCACCAAATATTTCAGCTTAATGTTTAAAGTGTTTTAATTGGGGGTTGTTCCCCACAAGCCCAACCTCAGCTCCTGATGAATGCTGCTCTTTGCTCTTTACTAACAAAGCGCCGTTGCAGCATCTACACCAGGTTTGAGTAAGAGAAACAGAAAGCAGTGGCCCTGAGCTGGAACTGGGACCGGTTCGATGAGGAAAAATAAACTCGACTGCTCTAAATGCAGCCATCCAGACAATGGGTGTCATCACCATGACAAGAACATTATTCCTAAGAAGAATTCCCTATACTTTTTCAGCCAGTTAGGATCTAGTTTTTGTTTTCTTTAATTAAATCAATTCCATTCCTGAGAAGGTTTCCTAGATTACAGGATCTGATAATGAAACCATTGATTTTAACACTGACTGTGACATCTCTGTGAAAGAGGAAGCTACACAACCATACCCCCCCCCCCCCCCCCCAGCACGCACACGCACACACATTTGCATATGTTGCTTCATTCTTTGCTCATTTCTGTGCACTCTTTGGAAGTCATAACAAGCAAACCTGCAGAACTTGGATCAGAGTGACATGTTTTTACTGATTACTGAGCAGAGTGCGCTATTTCACATAATTATGCAGAATTAACAAATTTATAGCTGTTTCACTTATTATGCAGGGAGCAGAGTGTAACACAGGAAAAGTACACAGAAAATCTATTTTTACATAAAGCTTTTATCACTCGGTTTATGAAATCACTTTTTGTTGGTGTTTAAAAAATTTAATAACCTATTAACTTTAAGCCTATCGTTTCTAATTAGAAAATGAAGCTATTTAGACCCTGTACATACATAAATGGGTATTCCACAAAAGAAATATATTTTTCTTTCTTAACAAAGTGAAGATATCTGGCACCAAAAAGGTTCTTTTAAAACCAAAGTGAACATTAGTGAATTCTCCGTAGTCAGCATTTGCTTGTGAACGCAATTTAACAAGGCTTTAGGTTTTGCAACGTCATTGCCCGCGACAAAACTTCTCTGACATCACATGTGACCTGTTTAAACTCACTTGCTTATATTTTTTTTTTACAAGTTTTAAGCTGCAATAGTACATCTACAAAACAAGCTAGCTTTTAAATGCAAACATGGTCATGGAACTCTCGCCCCTCCCTTCGGGTATTTTTGAACCTGCGTCAGACCCGGAAATCCGCATTGCCAAGAGCGCTAAATGCCAGTGACCGTTTAACATCCAAGCTTCTTTGGTTGTTTGTGACATCAAATGGTGTTTTTCTTTTTGGGACTCTGGTAGTTTATTCTAAAGTTGAAGTGGTAGTAGCTGTTTCTCATTCTCTGTTATTGAGCAGTGAACCTCTCACACTAGTGGGGTTCTGTTGCAAATTGCGCAAGCGCATAATGAGTGGAGGACACAGAGTACGGTGGATAGGTGAAACCGACAACCAGATGGTCCAATAGTTGCTTTCGGTCCAAGCCCGGTTATTGGCATAGGTTTTTAGAAAAATGTGAGAAACCAGCTTCATTAATTTATTTTATGTGGTCCCCCCAATACATTTATAGCTGTACTATGTTAGAAAGTTGTTAAGAGGCACGAAAAAGAGGTTTTACACCAACTTGTTTTCCAGATTTGCTATTGCAGCTTTAATTACTGCTCTTTGTAGAGGATCACAAGACTTATTCAGTTCAATTCAAAAATACTTTATTAATCCCAGAGGGAAACTGATTGCTGTAGTAGCTCATAATAATAATAATAATCAAGTCATCAAAGAGTTATTGTATATTACAATGGCTGTTGGCAGGAAGGATCTCCAGTAGCGGTCCGTATTGTAGCGAAACTGAAGAAGCCTCTGACTGAAGACACTCTTCTGTTGTCGGACAGTCTTGTGAAGAGAATGCTCAGGGTTGTCCATAATTTTCTTGACTCTCTGGAGAATCCTTCTTTGCATTATCTCCTCCAGTGGTTCCACAGTCGTCCCCAGAACAGAACCAGCCTTTTTTATTAGGCTGTTGAGCCTTTTCAGGTCCCTGCTTCTGATGCTGCTACCCCAACAGACGATGGCTGAAGAGATTACACTCTCAACAACAGACTTGTAGAAGATCTGCAGCATCTTGCTGCAGACATTGAAGGATCTAAGCGTCCTCAAGAAGTGCAGTCTGCTGTGTCCCTTCTTGTAAATGGCTTTACTGTTCTTTCTCCAGTCCAGTCTGTTGTCCAGGTCAACTCCAAGGTATTTATATTCCTCAACCACCTCCACTTCTTCTCCCATGATGGAAACAGTGTTTGACTTCACCCTGTTTCTTCTGGAGTCTGAAATCGTCTCCTTTGTTTTGTTTACGTTCAAGGTCAGATGATTGTTTCCACACCATGCCACAAAGCACTCCACCAGCTCTCTGTACTCAGCTTCCTGTCCATCTCTGGTACACCCGACAACTGCAGAGTCATCTGAGTATTTCTGTAGATGACAGGTCTCTGATTTGTACTGGAAGTCTGAGGTGTACAGAGTGAAAAGGAATGGTGAGAGTACAGTCCCCTGTGGTGCTCCAATGTTACTGATCGCCTGGTTTGATGTGCAGTTCTTTAGCCTCACAAACTGTGGTCTGTTTGTCAGGTAGTCTTTAATCCAGGTGATAGTTGAGGCCCCCACCTGTGTCTTCTGGAGTTTCTGGCAAAGTACATCGGCTGAATTGTGTTAAATGCACAGGAGAAGTCAAAGAACATGACCCTCACAGTGCTGCCTGGTTAGTCCGGATGACAGTGGGTTGGTTGAAGCAGCTGGATGATGGC